GATTTATATCCCGCCTGTCTGGACTATAAGACCTCTCTAGGCGGCTGTCATATCATGAGGTGGCTTAAGAAAATATGTCATATCATGAGATGGCTTAAGAAAAGAGCCACTTCAGGATACTGGCAAATTAAACACTTCCTCCTGGAAGTGGGAGGAGAGAAGAAGGGGCTTTGTTTTTCATTGACTTCTCTTAAAGTTCCAGTCAAGAAGCTGCCCACAGCCAAACAGACTACAGTGTTCATTTCTTAAAATTTGCTCTAATAGAAACTATTTTTATTTTTAAAAAAATTCCTTTGCCTGTCCATAGAGGAATTTCGTAATTTGCCAACATCCTGAAGTGGCTCTCTTTTACGCTGTGTTCTTCAGCCATGTCACAATAGGAGAAACTAACTGCAGAAATGAGCCTTGAAAGTTCACAGGAAATGAAGCAGTCCTACTCATAACAAAAAAGAGAGTAGAAACCCCTATCAAGAACCCAGAAAAGTAGGGATGTGGCTGGGATGGCCTATGGTTTGCTCCAGCAATTACGTTATGTGATTGCCTAAAAAACGAATGATCCAACTCATCCCCGCAGCAGAGCAAACAGCAGGCTAAGCACCATTCTGATTCCACACTTAGTCTTCAGCTGATGGGGTACGTAGTTTTTCTGCCTGTTTGAATCTCATCTATTTGTTACATTCTTCTGACATTTTAGCCAGCACAACCAAGTTAATGCTACTTATTGTACTGTATGTTTCTCCAGGAAAAAAACAACCGTTCATCAGAATTCAACACTGAAAACCTGGTGACGTCAGTAATTAATTTGTTTGTAGCTGGAACAGAAACAACCAGCACGACCATCAGATACGGGCTCTTGATACTCCAGAAATACCCGGAGGTAGAAGGTAAAACAGGCCCTTCAAGGACCTGCCCACAGCTCCCCATCGTTCCCTCTCTGCTGTGGTTTCCCCTTTCAGATTCGCCATCATGGCCCCATGGAATTCCTGCCTTGCTGCCTGGGTGACTCCCAGAAATGGCAAGATTTTGGGTGATCATGTAACTTAGCAGGGTTGCCAGTGGGTAAAGAAGGACAGTAAAAATGCAAGTGAAACCAGGAAGGATCCACCAGAAAGACAGGAGCGAATTCAGAAGCTGTTGTGTTTTGGACAAAGCTGGGCTGAGGGCGAAGGCCAGGTCTGTTTGCATGGATGCCTTGCTGAGTTTTTTTTCCCCTGGGCTTTCTTTTTGTCTCCTGAGCACATGGCCTGGGGGTGGGGCCTAAGGGTGGGACTTACTGATTTAAAAGAGCGTGTCCCAGGACGCTGGACCCTTTTCCCTAGGAAGCTGGGCTGAGGGTGAAGGCCAGGTATGTTTGCATGGATGTTTTGCTGAGTTTTTTTTTTTTGGGGTTTCTTTTTGTTTCCT